GCTGATGAAGAGGCCAATCATAGTGTAGAGCAAGAGTGAGTACCAGACGAATGGTTTGCTGCTTGACAACCGGGCTGAACGTCTCTTTATAATCGATGCCATACTCTTGATGGTACCCTTTGGCCACTAGACGAGCCTTGTACCGAGAGATGGAGCCATCCGGATTCCGTTTTATGCGATACACCCACTTGCAACCAATAGGATCTCGGCCCTTGGGTAGGGGCACCAAATCCCATGTACGCTGTTCATTCAGAGCTGCAAATTCTTCATCCATGGCATGGCACCAATAGCTATTCTTGGAGGCTTGGTGATAGGTGTGAGGTTCAGAGGTAGAAGGAGAGGTATCAGTGGTGGTAGCAGTATAGGTTTTAGGCTTGAAAATGCCTGATTTGGCACGGGTTTGCATGGGATGGGCATTTGTTGTGGGGATCAGTGCTGTCGACGGTCGACCGTGTGGGGGTGGACGGGTAATAGTATCGACCCTCTGTAGAGATTCAGAGAGGGGTTGGGAGGACGGTCGACCGTGGGGTGGGGAACGGTCCATGTGGTGAACCGTCTGTAGAGGTTCAGAACGGGTGTGAGGAGACTGTCGACCGTAGGTAGATGTATGAGGGGAACAGTCGACTGTTTGTGGAGCAGTAGCAGACGGAACGATTTGAGAACTGTGCGGTGCCGGACCCTGTGAGCCTGGTCTGGGAGGAAAGATGGGAATGATGCCTAAAGGGTTAGAGGACGCTGGGGTAGATAGAAGTTTAGAGTAGGGAAACTGATCTTCTACAAAACGAACATGACGGGAGACATACGTTTTCTGAGAAATAGGATCATAACACTTGTAACCTTTCATGGTGGGATGATAACCTAGGAAAATGCAGGGGGTGGAACGTGGTTGAAGCTTGTGATGTGTGTGAGGACGAAGCCAGGGATACACAAGACAACCAAAAGGACGAAGGTGAACATAATCCGGAGACCGACCATAGAGGGCTTCAAAGGGGCATTGGTTATTTAGGGTGGATGTGGGTAGGCGATTTATAAGGTAGTTGGCGGTAGCAAGTGCTTCAACCCAAAAGGAGACAGGAAGGTGGGAATCGTAGAGTAAAGCAATGACAGTCTCAATGAGATGCCGATGCTTGCGTTCAGCCACACCATTCTGTTCAGGAGTGTAAGGGCAGGACGTGTGATGCAGAATCCCAAGATTTTGAAGAAAAATGCCAAAGGCTGTATTTACAAATTCTTTCCCATTATCACTTCTAAAAATCTGAATATTTGAATTAAATTGAGTTTTAACCATTTTTTCAAAACTAGTGAAAACAGAGTAAGCTTCAGATTTGTGTTTAAGAGGATAAATCCAAGTAAATTTACTAAAATCATCAACAAAGCAGATATAGAAACGAAAACCAGAGATAGATGGAACAGAG